CCCTTCGCCCCATCATGTTTAGGATTATGTTGGTCACAAGAATGCTTGGAAAACTCTTCAATTATTTCCTTGATTTCATCTGGATTTATTTTATTCAATGGCCCTTGAGAATCAAGGAGTTGCCTTGTCATGACATTAACCCCATCATAAAAGATAGATACTTCTTGTTGCTCATTCAAGTCATTTTGGGGGCAATTCCTTATCAATCATTTGTAGCGTTCCCATGCTTCGTATAGTAACTCCCCTGGTTGCTGCTTAAAATTTTCTATGGCTTTCTTTAGTTTAGCAACCTTGGAAGGTGGGTAAAAGTGTTCTAGAAATTGGTCACACATCTGTGCTCAAGTAGTAATTGCATCGGGTGGAAGTTCTTCTAACCAATCTTTTGCAGATCCTTTGAAAATGACAGAGAGAATTCTTAGCAAAACTGTAGTGCGTGGAACATTTGGGACGTTAAAGTAGTTAGCATTGTCATTGACTTCATCTAGGTGCTTGTAAGCATCCTCATGATCCTTCCCAGAAAATAATACTTCTTTTAGTGCGGACAAAATGTGTCCCTTCAACTCGAATGTAGCGATGTCTGGGATTTCGGGCTGCACTAGACCGGGACTGGTGTCGTCTCGGATTCTCTTCTTATATGCTTCCATGGATATATCAACAATGTTTTCCATCTCGTTTTTCAGCTCGTCTTTGGGTTCACTATTTTCTAATTCGAATTCAGTTTTGGTCTCGTAATCGAAATCTTTTGGATTAGGATTTTGCTCAAAGCTTTCAATCTTGTTTTCGTCGTTCATTTGACTGCTTGACTCTCCTACGTTCTTTCCTTTCTTCTTTCCAAAACTTGATTTGAGGTCTCTGAAAGGTGACTTCTTTGGTTGGTTGGATTCTCCTACGTTTTGATCCGTCTTTTTGTGAAAGGCAGACTTTGGATCTTCAAGTGGTGGTATCAAAGGTGTGTTGGATCCTCGGGTCATCAACTACTGCAACAAAAAAATGTAAAACTGAACAAAAGTTCAATAAAAATGCTTACTGACTGCTCACCACGACTTGGTAAAGGGCACCACGTCGTGTTGTTGCAGAAAATCTAACAAAAACATGAAAAACGAAAGAAAATGTAAATGACTGAGCTCATGTCGTGAGTTCAGTACTGAATAAAAAACTAATACAAAGTTTTGACTTTTTGCAGGTTTTACGCCACAAAAAGGATCGATTAATCTAAAGAAAATAAATTAAAAACTAAAATAACCGTTTCCCAGTAACGGCACCCAAAACTTTGATGTGTGTAAATAGTTACACCTAATTTTACATACTATCCTACTAGCTATTTGACGAAGGTCAGTGTACCCTTTCGTAAATAGTAAAGCACAACAGTCGAGTAGCAATCTCAGGGAACGAAATTATTTACTTAAGCTACTTACTATTAAATTAACTTAAAATTCTTAAGCAAAAGTAATATGTTTTTTTTATCTAATTTTGCAAGTTTAGACAAACTTAAATTCTCGACAACTTATTCAATCAAATATCAAAAACACTTTTGTTAGTTCAAATCCACTTTCCCTCAATGATTAGCTACTAATTATGGACAATTCTCAATGGTTACCAATTAATATATTATTATCAATTCAATTCCAAATTACTAATGTTGAATTAATTCATGTAAAGCTATGCATGGTCGCACATAATTTAACACAGAATCAATTATTAATTTTTATTGGAGCTATGTAAAATTGACTAAGCAAACACAATATTATAGTCACAATATATGTTCTTTAGCACAGCCAAAATTAATACTTTAATTACTTTACTAAGATTTGTTGGATCCTTGCTCTAGCAATTTAATGATCACTAAATTACTCGTTGTCAAGTTCACGCAATTTAATATTCACTAAACTACACAGAACATGAGTTAAAGCAATTTAAGTATCAAAGTCTAACATGCTAGGTATTAGTAATCAAACACAAGCATTCAACCAACACGAAAAATCCATAATTAAATACTAATTAATGAGTTCAAGCTTCATCTAGCTAACAAAAGCAGGTATATTTAGCTACTCATAGTAACAAATGAACACATAATCTCAACTAATAAAGACATAGTAAATTGTACCAAACTAAGAATAAAGTTATGATCTTCTCCTTCTCCTTCCTTTAAAGCCAAAGCTTGATTTCTCTGCTAATTCTTCTGTGGAATTTGTATTCAGAACCCTCTAATGTCTATCCAACCTATCAAAGCCACCAATCACCATATATATATATATATATATATATATATATATATATATATATATATATATATATATATATTTTCGGGATTTTGAACTCCACGTCGTGAATTTGGTTGAATCATTACCGGGCAAGGACATCGACTTTCTGTGTACGCATATTCCAGAATTGTCCACGCCACGTCATGTAATTAAAGTCCATGACGTGGCTTCAGTTTTTTCCGTGGTTTTTCTGTCATTTCAATCTCCAAGCCTTCAAAGTTCCATCACTTGTCACTTTTGGTCCTTGTTCTTCAAGATTGCTCATTTTGGCTGCAAAATACAATTTAATCTTATAAGTACCAGTTATCTATACAAATAATCAAAATATTAATCAAAAATCAAATATTGCCTAAAAATATGTATAAATATGGCAATATCACTTGTACTCCAGCCATTGTGATTGGCTCAGGTGCAGCCGCTACTACATGCACTTGCTTAATCACTTGGAGCTAAGGCTGCTCATTGACATTTGAATTGGCATTTCTGACTCAACTTTGAGTTCTTGTCATTTCGATCTATACACCAAATTAGGAAAATTTAGATCTTTATTTATGATAGACGTTTTAAATCCTCCTTATCACTCTGAAATGATACATGCTAGTTCTAATATCGTAGCCGAATGCTTAGAATCCTGAACACATAAGTTTTCCAGATCAGGTTGGCAATAGACCATAGATCCAAACAAAGAATATCATATAAAACATTTTTATAGCTATAACATAAAACATTTATCACATAAAAGCGTTTTAGGCATCTTTCCTAAAATAAACTAGTGCTCGTGTCTAAAGTGTAGTAGATACTCATCTCACAAATCATCGCTTAGAATTCTATGTTTAAGTCTAGAAATCCTACAAATTCCTAGTTGGCTTAAACTAATGCTCTGATACCAACTGTGACATTCCCAATTTCACAGCCACAAAAGACCGATTTGTTTATGCTTTATTTGAAAATCATAGTATATTTTTAAAGAAATATGTTGCGGAATTTGTTCCGAAAAATATGATAATGAACTTATCAAATCATTTCCAAAGAAATGTATTATATTAAAAACCTTGGGATGTTATTGTCAATATAGATCAAAAGTGTAAATAGAAACAATATAGGCCTTATAATATCTATTTATTCTAGTGGCCTATAATCTATTGATCTCTCATCAGACCATCACTCATGTGCTCTCTTGCCACTACCTGTAATGCAATAAACTGAGTTAGTCAGGCTTGGGAGCCTAGTGAGCACATAGGGTTTTCAACCCACAATAATTAAGTTTATTAATTTCATCAAATCAAACAACCTGATTACCCGTTCCCTTTATACTCACTTTCTATCCCTAGAGCATCTAAAGTAAGGGACCTAGCCTAAGGGTTTTCAGCCAGGTGACAACACTACTTAGGGGATTCCTCAGCATTACATGTCGAAGAAGGCAACCATGAGGGGGATGGAGTACACCTGGTGAACATGTAGTTCAAAAAAACAACTATAGGTTGTGAGCCTGCCAGCGTTCCACTGGACTGTCTAGAATAGTCCACGGTCGTCATCTATACTCTCCTGGATGATCGAGGCCTCTCATCATTATATTTCATCACACATCAACTGTTTTATCTACCCATGTTTTACCCAACATATTTGTAGATATAAAATACATATACAATTTAAATCATTTATAACATGTATAAATCGTTCATCCAGCATAGATATCAAGAACACAGATAATATGCACACATAGTACGTAATTTATATTAAATACTTCATATTTATGTGTAAGATGAAAATAACTATGCACTCACCTTAGTAGCGTGAATTGATAGAATCTAACTAGAAACGATCAATAATTCGTGATCATCGGGCTCGGGACGCGGAATGCCTTCAGCAAACGAGAGCGAGA